TGAAGTTGGTGAAAAGGGAGGAGAGAGGGAGGGCAAAAAAGGAAAATGACACTGGAGAGTGCAGAATCCATTAGCAGGTTCAGAGAAGGGAGTGCGCTTCGGCATCGACGCCCGATCTTTCATCCCGCTGCGAGCTTTTGTACGTGCGCGAATGAACGAGCGCCGAGCTACCATTCTTTCCTCTATCGCTTTGTCTAAATCCACCGGAACCGAATTTCCACGCGGAACACGTGTCAGGAATCTGCGATCGCGCTTTGGGTCGCGCACGAGAAAGAGAGAAAGAAAGACGCGGCCTCTTCCTCAAATTCCTACAGATCGGATTCTTGCTCGCTGCTGCCAAATTGAGCTCCGATTGTGCGTAATCATATTCAAAGAGATATTTTATTATTAAATAATCGACATCACAAACACTCAAAAAAAATACCATCTCATTCTCTCATATAGGATCCACATATATGTGGATTCAAGATTTTTGCAAAACTAAAATTTGTTGAATTATATTTGTTGAAATCTATTGATGCAAGTAACTTGTCTTCGTTTAACACTACGTAATCTCATTTTAAAGTTTGCACACCGAAAGTAAAAATATTTTCAAAATAAGAATGCTCTTTTTGTGTACGTCGTTTTGCACGTATGCAATTTTTTAGGTATCTAAATGCAATCTACACTCTATAATCAGCGTGAGATCAATTTCCCGTATTATCTCATCCGTAACACCAATTCTACCTTAAATTTACGAGCACTTAACTCGCACAGATGGTGAAAGCGATACACGCACGCGAAGATCGCAAATTGGGAGCATTAGTAATTAATAACACGTTGCTATTTAGAGTTCGAGTGGCTTTAAATGGATTAATTACAATCGGTTTGAAATCGATGTTGTGCTGCAAACGATGCTGAGTGTGCGGCGACAGTGCGACTGAATGCAACATGCATCAGTTTATCCGCGATTCACGATTACTCTCGTCATAACGCACGTAACAATATTACGCATCGCGATCGTTAAAGCACAGTTAAATCCGGCCGTACTAGAGTCCCTGTCGATGAAACACCTTCATTACAACGAAGGCGCAGTCTCTTCCTTTCGCTTTCTCCCTTTCCTTCCTTTTCTTATCCCTCTCCCTTTTACCTGCCCTTCCTGCCGTACTTAGATCGTGTACCCGGTACGTCGCGTTTCCTGTCTTAGCTCCAGACGATGTCTTCGACAATATCTTATTCAAGGTCGCAGTGGGAATACGAATGAACTGGCGGAGATTCGCGGGAAAGACGACAAGAGTCGTGGAAATGAGGAAATGCAAGAAAAACTCGAAAGACTAATAACATGTCAAATATTCAAATGGGTGAGACGAAATTTATCTTGTGTTTTAAGTATTGCGTGCAAGTTTGAGATGGATGTCATTCAGTGGATTCCGATGATTCTTCGGTCTTTTTTCTTCTGAAATTATTCTCTGAATTAACCACGACTCAATTATTTTTGTGCGATGAGTTCGATTACATAGAGAGGATGTAACGTCGTTATATTTAGGTTGTTGCAAAAATCACGTCGACTACAGTAATAAAATCTACGAATATGAAGGTAATTTTCTTCAAAATTTCCTACCGAATCCTACACACATAAGAACGCTATTCTTCTGCTAAGAAAAGCTTAGGTTACTTTCCTTTCTTAGTAACGGTTGTCTTCATCGAAGAATATTTTCTTGATAAGTCTTAAAATATCAGAAATTTAAAAAAAACTCATTGTCATGCACTCAAAGAAAGAATTTATTTTCTTCCCAAGAAAGTTTTGAAGAAATTAGTTTAACTCCATGTATAAGTAAGCAAACCGTTTTAAAACTATTTTACGAAGAAAAAACATTTTTCTCAAACGGGATCAATACCTTAATTGAAATGCTAAACTCACTAAATATCAAAATGTATATTTTTAATAAATCTGATATTGAAATTATGATGAACTTTTATATGATAGATTCACAGGTATGTGAACTTATAAAACATTCGAATCAAGTAACATTTATTTGCATACAATATGTATTCTTCTGTGTATGGAATTGTGGAAATTTCCTTTCAACTAAACAAGCAAGATTAATCTGTTTATTTAATTGAGCTCTTCGCCTTATCCTAGATCTCGTGTTTCCTTTGTATTCCGTTTCAAAACTACCCCCGCAGTAATTTTCTCGTGCAACAAAGGACAGGACGAAGTGGAGGTGACGAAAGAGCAGAGATGTCTCATAGCGGACGAAGTACATCGGTCGAACGAACGGAAATCGGTTTGGTATATTGGTATGTTGCCAATGCAGCGGGGGTGGCGATTGGTCGTCGCTCACAAAGTGGATCAGAGCCGCATGCATAAAGCCGGGGGAAAAAATCGTGAAACGCGCGCCACTCGCCACTACCACTTCACTGCCACGCGGCGCACTCGGCCGTCCGGTAAATATTAGTCCGTCCGGATCTACCCGTACGGGACACTTTTTCTTCGCTGTCTCAGCGCGTTTCCGTTCTCATAAACAAAGTAATGACTCGCCGACGCGAAACCCAATTCCCGGATTTGGGCGCGAGCGAGCGAGCGAGCGGACCGACGTCGCCGCCGACAGTGGTCGCAGCTTGCCTGCATGCATACGCGTGTCCACACACCCACGTGAACATACGCACGCACACACACAAATTCCACTCATACACGATCGAGCTACGTGTTTCCGTACGTGTTACGAACACGTCCGTGAGTGGTACGCGCGGTAAAAGCCACCTCGGCGTGCATGTAAATCACGTCGACGACGTCGACGACGACGACGACGATGGCGACGACGAGGACTCCGTTCGTCCCTCTAAACCTTGCTTCCCCTTACCCTCTCTTCCTGCCCTGCTCGCGCAGGTTTACGTGCACCGACTTCTTGCTAAACAATGCTTCGATCGACCTCCTGAGCTCTCATACCTTCGTTCTTCTCTCGCCTGTGCTGTCCTCCTCTCTTTCTTTTCTTCATCTGTATTGTTTTTCTCTCTTAACTTCTATCCTGATATCTATTATGTCCTAACCTGTGGTCCACGCCCGCGTTCTTTCTTCTGCATCCTGGAATCTATTATCTTCAGGTTATTGTGCTTGTCCCCTAACTTCACCTCGTGTTCTTCTTTTCTTGGGTACCATATCTTGATCCTGCGTCGTCGACCTTGTTAGCGCCGCTCGCTCTTGCATTATTCTTGCTTCGGTCCCGATCTTGATCCTGCTATCCTTGCCTCCTTTGCATCCTTCGAACAAGAGAGCCACCCCACTCCTTGTTTTCCTGTCTCTCCCGATATTTATTATCTCGCCGCACGTTGTCCTTACTCTCTTCAGCGCGGTCTCTCGCGGTTGTACGATCGCTCTCGCTCTTCTCTCTTTACTTCCCTGTCTTCCTTAATATTTATTATCTCGTCACATCGCGCGCTCTCCCTCTCTTTTCTTCTTCTTCTTCTCCTCTCTCTTACTCTATATCCTCCCACGTCGTTACTTTTTCTTCGTCCACCGTTTTAACCCTTCTACCTCCTTCTTGCCTTTGTTTTCTTCTTCCTTTGAAGGGAAGGACTGCCGCGTTTCCCACTTCTCTTTCTCCTGTCATCCCTGATCTTTATTATCTTCCCGCACCGTCCTTGCTTCTTCGAGCATCGCGTCTCACGATATTCAACGATCCCTTCTTCTCTATCCTTTCTCTTCTCTTTGATCTTTCTCCTTGACTTCCGTTACAGTAACTCACCACTCAAGCACTTTACTCGATCGCGTCCAATTTTTTTCTATATCCTTTCATGAAACCCTTAAATCTCGATGACGAAAGCAGATGTGTGTGCCATTGTCCGGGCGACTCAGGTTACTATAGTTACCAACTGTGCAACTTTCTATTCCACTACGCGTATTCGCGCTTCATTGCTCATCATCCGCGACTTCTTGCTCGCGTCTTGCTGGAAACTGTGCTAACAAAGTTTCGCGCGCTTTTGTCAGGAGAGTTACTTTCGCAGAAATCGACGTGATTTTTGTAACAACCTAATATAACGGCGTTACGTCATCCCTACCTAACTTAACTCGTCTCCTTGCCTCCTACTTTGATCGCCCTTCCTGTCGCGATCCGCTGCTCTTTAACCAATCCGCGGAACCGTCGCTTCCGGTTGTCCGTTGACGACGACTACCGTCGAGAGATCGCGAGAACGGAGGGATCTCGCGATCTCTCGGGCGCAGCGCGCGCGCGGGGGAAACTTTTCAATATCAGGAATGAAAAAGTTGATGCCACGCTCGACTTCCTCGGGGTCGGATTGTTCGTCGCGCGTAGCCGGACCAATTTAGGGCAATGGATCAAGCGCGCGGAAAATAGCAGAAGCGGCCCTTTAGCAGTCGGACAGTCTCGGAAGTTTCCACCTATCCCGGGATAACGAGAGATCGCGTCAACGCGACAGCCTCCACTGATCGAGCTCCCTCGCTTACTCGTGTATTGAGCGTCAGTTATCGAATTCTCTCGCGTTTAACGTTTAATTAAACCCCGACAGATTCCGACTATAAAAAAAAAAAAAACCTCTGCCCTTTCATGCACCCAGACGGACTTTCATGATTATCACCAGTGAGATAGTTGATGATGGAAAATTGACATTTTTTTATTACTTTTATAAAGTAAATAATATTGTATTGAATTAATTATTAAATTTACATATCATATATGGAAAGAAATATTTGTCGGAATTAAACAAAACGGCCCTGATACTAATACTGCGCTGGATTTAACTTTCAGAGAGCAATTTTTGGAAAACTTTTTTCCAAATTTTAGGAAAGTTATCGAGAGAACAAAAAAACGTTCACCCAAAGTATACTCTAGATGATAGTGCTTAATATGCACGCTCGATTCTTCTACTTTTGAAGACCGCGATTTCTGAAAATCCGAAAATAGCAAGTGCGATAGCTCGTCTTTTAGCGAAATGAAAAAAAAAATCACGACTTGTGTAATAATTCGCTAATAACGAGATGGCACATTTTTCTTCTGTTGCAGACGTTCGACATGTCGAGGACGAGAGGGTAAACCGTCGACTTGTGATAAGATATAGACATAATGATGCAAGAATAAGACGAAATACGTACTTCAAGAATGCCAATTTACGCTAGTGCGATTGTGGTGCGAGAAACTAGAACGCGCCTGTAGCGCGATCAACGTCGGCGAGGGCGTTCCATCGCTTCATCAACGTCCGCAGCCTCATCTTCGGCAAGCTGCTGCTCAAAATAGAGGCCGGAGATGCTGGCGGTGACTGCGAGGTTACGGGCTTTCGCGAGATCGCGCACGCGAGAATTCTACAGCGCGGCGGATCGGTCGCGATCGTTCTACTGTGGATCGAGGGTTTCGGTGAAATCTCGCAAAATATTACTTCTCTCGTTAGGTAGGCAATTAACTCCTTGTGATTAGCGACAATTTTCGCGGGAACGACACGAGATCGTAGAACGCCCGTTTTTTGGAAACGTTCTTCTCGGTATATCGCTTCCTTTCATCCGGCCGCGCGCGCCGCGCCAAAGTCGTGCTGTTTCTTGCAGGAGAAATTATTTCGCTGATTAACCCTTGAATTCCGAATGGAAGGCTGGCGTTGAGAAACCCGACATTGATCATTAGAGATTATTAGGTTCCTTCTCACTTTTCTACCTGATAATTACGAGACGTGAGTCCGATGTTACATCTACAAATGACGCGGTTTCTCCGCACGCGTTTGAACTTTACCTTAATGTATAATTATGCGGAGAATATTTATTTTGATATTTATAGAATCGTCCGCGCAAAATACGATTCGGACTCTAAGGGTTAATTCGTATTTTATTATCTTTCGCCACTGTCGTCTAAACAGGATAAGAGTTACTCTGCGTAGCAATATATAAATATAAATATATATAAATATATATATATATATATATATATATATATATATATTTATATATATATTGCGTTATGTTTAGGAACGCGTTCGAGATATACAAATAACATATTGCTCAAAGAAATTCTGCCGATCTGTAGCGACGATTTTGCAATAGCGATTTAAGCTATCGGTCCCGAGTTACGTACTCGCGACACGCGATACACCATCGTCGGGATCGTCGCGCGTCATCGGGAGATCCAAGTCGAAGGATCATTCGAGCGGTAACCTCGCGTGCATTCCCCGAAGTGTCCGATCTTCGAGGATCGCGGAGCCGAATCGCCCAGACGTCAACTGGCAGAATGAATAATTTAAGCGCGCTTAGAGAGCTTCGGTAGACCGACCTCGCCTGAGAAAAAACGCGGTTTCTCAACTCGATCTGAATGAGTCGCGATCGACGAATTCGCAGTTCCATCGCGCGGACGGGTCTCCCCGGGATCCCTCAAGGCCCGCTTGATCGCCCGTGGTCGACGGTATCCAAGTCAATTTTTACAGTTTTAAGACGCGCGTTGCGAGCTGACGAAATTGAAGTCGCGCCTCTAACGCGGCCGTCTCGCGAACGCGAGCTAAATCTCCAGGGCGTCGCGGTCCCTACAATCGAATAACATACGTATATATACATATATATTTGTAAGGACACGGCGGTGTGTATGTGTGTGCGCGTGTGTGTGTGTGTATATGCGATGTGTATGCGCGCGCCTGTGTATGTTAATGAGTGTACGGGCGGAGGACAAGGCAGGAGAGGAGTGATGAAGGGTTGAAGGCTCGCCGACGTTTTGCCGTGCGTACAACGATCTCTGTTGTCTATAAGGGTAACCTCATAGTGCTCCTAAGACGCACTCTGTCGTCGCACAGTGCGTCCCTTTTAGGCCACGCGCGCGTGCTATTATTGCATTACCTCACGCACTTAGTCGCGACTGTTTTTCTAAGCGAATGTGCGACTCGGCGAAGCTATCCGAGAAATCGCAAAGATCTCCCGTTTTCTTTTACTTTTTTTTTCCACTTTCAAACACGAAATCATTGCCGACGTGACGCTCTAAATGCGAACGTATACCTTCGCTATTTTACATGGAACGTAAGAGACACACACGCACATTGGCTCACCCTCACGATCCGGAAACGGACGGTCGCGTTCATGCAGCGAGAGACGAGGAGAATTTTATATTTTTCCCTTGCGTTTCGAACAAAACACATTTCGGATCTCGAATTACGGAGTCGCATTTTTTTTTCGAAGGAAAGAACGTCGGAGAGTGATCGCGTGTGCACTCCGGAAGGACGCACTGTGTGCAAAGAAATATAAAAAAATATATATATATAGATATATATAATAATTATAAAAGAAGTATATACATTATTATTGTATGTAATTAAGACGGAGATAAGTACGAAAAAGGAGTCGCTAGAGCATACAGTGCTATATATACATATATACATATATAGGGTAGTCCACTTAAGTGTTAACACGCCTTTTATCTCCTGAATCGTTAAAGATATTGAAATGCGGTTTTTACTGAGATAAATTAGATGAAGAGGCTACTAATATGCCGAATTTTTAAGATTTTGACGCCATCTTTGATTAAATGGACATATATCTTTTACAGTATATCAAAGTTGGTTGAAAGACTAATACAACGATATAAGGTTTGTTACAAATTGAACAAATAATTGTCGAAAAAATAGCGTTGATAAGTTTGGACATTGCGCTATGTGCCTGTCACCGATCAAAAGATCGATTCATGATTGAAACATCTATCTTGCATTACGTTTGTCAAGAGAGCATAGTTTCTTGGAATTCATCAAATTTTATGGACAGCTTCTTCATCTAGTTTATCTTGGTAAAAACCGCATTTCAATATTTTTAATATTTCAGAATATAATAGGTATGTTAATACTTGGATGGACCATCCTGTATATATATGTGTGTGTATTTATATACATATATATATATACACACGTACACACATATATATATTATATATATTATATGTATTCTCTCTATATATAATATATACATATATATATAATGATATTATACAAAAAATATTGAATATACTCTATACAGTAAAGTATAATTGTACGTTCGCTAGTGTTATATATGCGTTATATATAGTACTATATATATATAAACATAGGTACAATTAATATAAGTAAACTGCTACCAGTAGCCGTTTAAAAGTGTAAGTTTAGTCATCGATCAATGAACGAACCGCGACTTGGCAATCGCCATCGCGGCATTTCAATCTGCTGTATCGACTTTAGGTGAAACGATATGAGGAAAGACAGAGAGAGAGAGAGAGAGAGAGAGAGAGAGAGAGAGAGAGAGAGAAAGAGAGAGAGAATATATTCAGCCGAGAGCTGTACGTTTACGACTCGTTGGTGCTTCTCCCTAGGTAAATATTACTTTGTATCCTTCTTGTCGGCGGAACAATAATCGTTAATCGATGTCGCTGCTAGAGTAGAGGGACGAGAGTGTCGGAATTCGTCGTCGGGTATATCGCGATTCACCGCCGGTCTCTCCAGGAGACCTTTCTTCTCGCGTTATGCGGAAGGAGACGCGAGTTGTCTCCAGCTGACACGAATTCAATGTACGAAAACCTTGACGTGAACCTTTTTTGTTTGAATAAAATCTGGAGGAAGGAGAGAAATAAAACTTGGAAGATGTTTCCGTTCATGTGATCAACGAAATTTCATCCACCCCGAAGGAGTTGAGCTTACTATTCTCGAACATCGACTAGTCTAATGTCGATCGCGCGGACGATCGCTAAGTATGTCCGGCGGAAGCCGGATGCACGCTTATTTTTGCTATCCTAGAACGATCGCGAGAAATTATTAGCTGCTATCGTGCAAATTTGTGATGAATCAGAATGAGTAAAGTTCAAGAGAACATTAGTACAATATAATTCGTGAGATAGCTCCTAATCAAACGACGACTCTATTAGATCAGTATAACGTGTCTATGAGGTCGCGCCTCCGCGAATCTTCAGAGTCGTTCAATCCTGCTGCGAGCTTTCCGACACAATCGATCTCGCGGCTGAGAGATTGCCGTTGGTTTTCCGCGGCGATCTCGAGCCGAACTCGCGTTATAGAAGAAACTAGAGAGACAGAAAGAGAGAAAGCGAGAACCTGTTGTTAGATTAAAATGTCTCGTAAGATCGCGAGAGAAAAGGAGAGACAGAGAAAAAGAGTGACAGAGAGAGAAAGAGAGAGAGAGAGAGAGAGAGAGAGAGAGAAAGATTAGGTAAATTTGTTAAATATTAATATTCGTATCGATTCTTCTCCCCCTCCCCCTTCCTCATGTGCAATTATTACGCGAAAACGACACCTTGTATAACACAGTTGTCCGAAAGATTCTCTTGCCAGGTTTCCCGGTGGATTCTTCCCGAGATACTGAGTAATTCGGGCGTATGCTCTTAGGTGCTTTTAAAAAGAGGAGAGGAGCGATCTTTGTCGACTCGGCGACCGCGAATTCGAGCTTACAGGTGACGCTAGTTGATAGCGCGGTGATGTTTTTACCAATCTTAGAAGTATAAAAGTACGTCGCGCATTGACGAGTTTAGTCGGTGTTTTTAGCCGTGAAAGAAATAGCGTTCCCGCGAAATAGCGCAAGCGCGGCGTCGCGCGCTGGGCTCAACTCCTAACCGCGTTTTTCACCGGCGTGACTAGCACAACTCGCTTGCCCTACAACACACGCGCGGCGATGTGTATAAATTATTTGGCGAAGAAAGAAACGCGAGAATATCCGCGGGCAGGATTGATCGTTACGCAGTTTCGCCGGGCGAGACGCGTTTGGGGACTGAAGCCGATCTCGTTTAAACCAAAAAAATCCACTATGCTTCGTTAGTGATTCGTTATCTCTCTCGAAAAAGGAAAAATCATGGAATATCGAGTCCGAGTTGCCTGAATTGGAAGTGTAAGTGTGTGATTGATGAGCGTATTAGCGGCCATCTACACGAATTTGGCGCCGTTGAAATTCCGATCGACGCGAAGCATAGTGGACGGCTGAAGGACGTAGCGAAAGGAGCGTGTTGTTTGATTAGATCCTCGATTTTTCGTAGAGATAATCGCACGTTTCCCGACAACGCAAGAATCCTTCAGTGCATCCGTCGCGCGAACCATAGAACATATATACACGAAAGAGGAACGCCTTTGTTTCCTATGGATAAAAAATGTGACCAAGTTGCGTGTGAGAGACCAAGGAAATAGGGACTAAAAGTCCTCTGTACGCATTCGCTGAAATTGTAAAGAATAGAAACCGTCGAAAAATTATTGACTGACAACGATTTTGACGTATGCGTGCAGAAGACGATTAATCCATGTTTATCTCCTTTCTCTCTGGCACCTTCTTCTTTCGCAACTCGGACACACTTTCAGTATCTGCATTCTTCTTCCATGTATGTATGCGTTAAGGCGCGAACGGCCGCATCGTGGCGTCGTAAGTAACAAAAAAGGAAAAAAAAAAGAAAAGAAACCGCGCGAAAATGATGTCAATTTTATCGACAAGTACGATTAAGCTTAGAGAGTACCTATGTGCGTACGTCGACCGATAGCGGATCCCGTTCGACTGAGAATTACCGCCTATGCGATAAAAGCCGGCCGATCCTGTGCGACTAGCGACGTGGCTCTAAAAACTTGAAATACGGCAGGCGATTCCTGCGCGCACTGAGAGAAAAAACAATGCTTCACATAGCTAAAATCTTATAGTTACTTTTCACCCCGACCACGTTTTTGGTAGCAAGACGGTAATAGTGGCACGCATACAAGACTATTATCACATTAACGTTATATTAGAATATAATAAAGGAAAAATGGTTTTCTTCATCACAATTCGTAGTAGTTATTTCTCCATGCTAATATAGTTAGAAACACCAGACATTTTTTTCTCAGTGCGGGATTTTCTACACAGTTGCAATCTTTCGAGGTTGCATTCCGAAACTATTCTGTTTGTGGAGAGTTCTACCGAACATAGTTTGTGTTACATATACAGTGGATTTTCAGTAAAATTCTCCTCAAAAGGGACGTTTCGAAATGCAATGCAAATTCTCTCCTTATCGGGATATAATCATGTAAATAATGAAGCAAAACTGTCGTGATGATGCGAAATTCATCGATTTTAAGGTTGCAATTGTTGCGATGAATTGACCGTACATTGAAGAGGCCAAATGCTAGCCGGATGCGGTCGCGCCGGCCGCCCTGAACAATTTACCAGCGTTTCGCTGAGGCGAACAGAAACATGAAAATACGAGCTTTCCGTTTTGGCATAAGTGTACGAAGTTACTCGTAAGTGTTCATAACGTAATTACCATAATTAGCACTTAGGGACGGAGCTAATTTACATACAAAATACACGTGTGACTGGAGACAAGTGTTTTCTTTCCGTTTCTTTTTCTTCGCAAAAAACAACACATGAAGCAGCAAAAACGCGGCAGATATTTGTAAATTACAATATTTGAAAGATACTCTCTTAAAGTGAATCAGTGAATAGTCACTGATATCAGTTATAAGTATAGCACTGAATACTTTCAGTGCACCACTTATAACTGCAAATCAGTATATATTCACTGTTTTCAATAATGTTTCACTGATTCATTTTAAGAGAGTACGGGTGCTCGCGCGGGTATTCGAGTAAAAACCCGAAAAAGCTAAAATATCCGGGTAATACCCGAAAGACCTGGTTACTCGAGTGTTTATCCGAATAGTCGAAATCGATAGCACTAATTGCAAATGGTGAAAACGCACGATCATTATTGTAATTGATCATTACATTGCAATTGCAAATTGGTATTATTGTAATGTTCGCGTTACGCTAATCGAGTTTGAAGTCTCCTCTGAATACACAACATGTCTCTTGTGTGAAGCTTTCTTTTGAAGCTTCTAGTTTTTCACCGTGGATCTCTCGACTGATGATGTCAGAAGCGAGACAATATACGTCAAAAATTCTTTCAAAATACGTTGAAATAAAAAGATTCACTCAAATACATGGCTAAAAAGCAGCACACGTTTATATAAGATCAATAAGTCCAAGAAATATGAAAAGGATAATCATGTTAGTAACGACAGTCTCTACGTTATCGACATTTTTCGAATGCATCATTCACTTCAGCATTCTTTTAATTTTATGGTTATTTGTTGATTATCAGAGCAAAGGGAAATTTCCCTTATTTCCCTTATTTCCACGTACTTTGCAAGAATTTTCAGGGAGATAATGTCTCGCTTCTGACGTCGTAAATCAAGATGGCTGTGGTAAAGGAGCTTAAACTTCTTGTGATGTCTTCAACATCCGAGATCCTCGATTAAAAGGAGACCTATTTTTGCTATTCATTCATTATGTTTAAGAAGATTAACGATCGAGAATCAATAAAAAAATGCGCGAGATCTAGTGAAATTGAGACACGTTGAAATCACATAAATTACCTTTTCCTTCCTAAATCGACACAATCATTGAAGTGAGGGGACGCGCGTTAAGCTGCGATCGGCAAATCGAGATTTTGAAAATCTTTCTACGTCACACGACCGTGCTTGATTTTCGACCGAAGCGGGTATAATTCGATCTGTAGACTCGATTTTGTCCACCGAATCAAATGAGAGCAATGTGGAATTTTGCTTCGGTTTTCTTCGGGAGAATACCGTGTCTCTCACTTGAAAATCACGCACGAGGAAGGCATTTCTTAGGCGAAATCATTATAGCTCGTGTATCCGTCCACTGAATATAGAGTGCGGTGAAGGAGTTTGCGACATTGTTACACACAGCGCGGCTTTAAGCGAGAGAATTTAGCGTGTGATAGTGTCGATAATCCCGAAGGAGCAATCTTCTCGACGAAACCCGTGAAACGTGGCAAACTGCAAACCTGGCTTCGCAATTATTAACCAATATGTGTCCGCTGAGCAAGCTCGACAGAAGTGAAATTAAGAGCTCGTTAATGTACGACGATGTCGTCTTAATTTCGGGCTCGTTCCAGCGCGGCAAGTTGTCTGGCCGACTTTTCTCAAGAAATCGAGAAAATTCATCGCACCTTTAGTTGCCCTTTCAGCTTTTTAAGATTGATTTCCTTTTGGAAAACAATTAGAGTCGGTTGTGCCGAGCCCGTCGATTATTAATCACCTCACGTGCTTGAGGTGGAAGCTTGGAAGGGAAATAAAAAATTCGAGACGACCGCGGATGATCCTCGAGATAATTGTGAAACCGGCGTTTGTCACGTCCTCGATACCTGAGTTCCTTCACGGCGTTCTAGATTGCGAAAAGAGCCGATGATTTCCTTCGAGAACACGGTTTCTCGCGACATGCCCGATTTCCGCCTCGAACACACCGGCGCGATCTTCCCAATGGAACAGACATTGCGGCGACGCGTCGCGAGGACCGCGATTTGACAAGCGAGTCGTCTGATTTGTATCACGAAAGGGTCTCTTTAGCGAGATAGGCCGATCGATCGTTCGCAAAAGCGGTCAAGTGCTGAAAAAAAATCTTGGAGCTTTATGTCGCGAGAAACCGACACTCTAATGCCAAATTAAAAAGCTCGTTTTCCGAAAGATTTCCTAAAAAAAATGTCCTCTCACGACGAATTAGACTCTTTAATGTGATAAATTTTTGACAAGAGAAAAGGGAAAAATCGTCTTACAAACAGATTCCTCATGCGTTTTGAGGAGTGGAGATTGAAGGGAAACCATTTCGGACTTGCCCTATTTTGCGTGCGAGCGACGTAAGTATAAAATATTACCTAGTGATACATAAAGGTGTTTATGGAAAACGAGAGAGAGAGAGAGAGAGAGAGAGAAAGAGAATGTGTGTGCGTGTGCGCCTCGGCTGATATTATATAGTCAATATTAGTAGCGCGACAAGAGAGAGGGAAGAGCGGAAAAACGGGAAACAAGCAGTTGTCGATAGGAATCGGAGAAGGTGACGCGACGAAGTACCATGGAGTACCTATGTTACGCTTGAAAGCTGTACTTTCCACCTATTTCCTCCGCGGAAGTTGCGAGCTGACCCGCGTTTCGTCGGGAAAATTTATCTATTGACAACGAGACTTAGCTCGGATAATCTGACACGTCCGTTCGGCCCCAGCGAGCGAGGAATATTGTCAGTCCGCGAAAGGGCGAAACGTAGAATCGCCCTGAGAAAATTCGAGAATTGAATGCATTCGAACGCGTTGAAATTTATATTAATTGTAGCATGAGATTTGATCATTGCGATATTTTCGATTGTATATATACATATATAAGAAGAAGACGGCTTCACGTCCGATGAGGCTTTTCATTGCTCGAAACGCGAGAATTGCGCTACGCCCGGCAAAAATCCGAGAAACTGTAATCGCTTGCTCGAGCTACGTGTTCATTAATCGCGAAAGATTGATGAAATAAAGTAGAGTCAGCAATTGTGCGGCAGAAACCGCGGTGCCCCTCTCCCTCCGCTACGTCTCGCCGTGATTTCTCCTCAAATTTGAATTCTATGCGTTCTTAGCGTGCGCGCGTTTCCGAACACGAAACACGGGTCATCGTTTTCGATCGGCGTTTTCAAGTCGGTGGATCGATCCGCCGATCGGAAGCGTCAATTGCGATCGATTCGAAACGGAAATACGTACGTCCCGTACGGCGGACACTCGCCGGATATTCGTTCCCTCGCGCGAGGAACCTCTCGCTACGTTTCTGTCTATCTTGTTTTTCTCTTCTCCTTTTCGTTTCTCCTTTCTTTCCTCGAGAACTTTTACGCGCAGCGCGCGCCGCCCTGCGCGGCGACGGAGAACAGCAACGCATTGACGCGGTTGGATCATTCAATTAATTCCTTAGAGCCCTACACACTATGGCGTATTGTTATATTTCTTTTCAGATATATGCGCATGTAAGCACACATATATGTTTGATGATGTATAAGATATGTAGACGTACATTCGAAACTTGAGTTATATATTTAACATGAGTACTATTTAATATATGATTCAAGCTTATAATAAACGGGTTGTATAGAGAACTGTCTCATTGTTTTCGCGATCCCTGAACATCCTGAAATCTAAACGTCCCGGAAAACTTTTCAGCGAGTTTCCGAGAGCACAGCTCGGTGTTTTATGGTACTATATGGAATTTTGTGAAAATTATTTTATAGTATATTCAAAGCAAAATATACGCTGGTGATAACTATAGGTAACAATCACGAGTTTTGTAAAATCAATATATACAGTTTGATAAATTGTTTTACAGTTATTGCAACTAAAGCTGAATGATTATAAAATTTGCGAGTATTTTTCCTCAGAGTACATGTCCATTGCATGTTAATAGAATTTAAATATTTTTTCTATAGAGAATATAGAAGATATTCTCTCTAAGCGGAAATTTAAAAAATTTCAGTTTAATTGTATACATTGACGTGCGATCTTTTTCTTTTAATTTGAAATGTAAAACAAATTTGGATGCACGGCGAAAGATGTAATTATTGTGATATATCGTTTGCAAAAACAAATATCATCTCAACATAACGATGCTTGTTAGTGTCTTGAAGCTTCAGATGAGCTCTTTTTCTGGGAGCCGAAAATCGAGCGAGCTGTATTATGTGGGGAAGGAAATAGATACTATTTTTTACGTACGCGTATATTTTATATATATGTATATATAGCCAAAGAATCGTTAATCAACGTCAAAGAGAAGAATGGTGCATTGTGGTATCATCCGAAAGGAAGGTAAGAGGCATGATAGGGGCAGGAAAGAGGACAGGAAGGAGGACTTAAAATGGAACTTCTAAATGCAAGTGTATCTTCCCACCCCATAATTTTCATACAGCAGTTATAAGCGAGCTCAATGAAATACGAGCACTAATTGTCCGCGCGATTAAAAAATGTAATTCGAAGAGATTCGAATATCTCAGCATGATAAATAATTTGTAAAAATATGTATCGAATAGGCGAAATGTTAAAATAATATTGGTGTGCGTCTATCAAGCGTTGACGTTTACGGAAGATGAGATGAACTTCCCGAGAGAGAGAACGCAATCTCATTTTCTGAAAAAATATCAGGTACCATCGGTAATTTCGCATTGTGACAATTATCGGCAGCTATACTTGACTTCGCATTCATATAACCGCCGATCTTGTCGTCGATCAATAATTTTTGTTTTAGTTAAGCTCGCTCACGACTCCACACGATGCACGCTTCCCAGTTAAAATTCAGACACGCCACCCGATATAACGGGTCGAGCTGTTATTGAATTTCAACGGCATTTCAAATATTGCAATAAAGATATTATGGAGTCTCTTCGGAGATCTATTATTGAGCGAAATCAAAGGATGTCATTTCATCACGGAAGTTATTCTTGATATTGCGCACAATCGGTAATCTGCGATGGACGAAAATAATTGCTCTAATCGTGCATGCGATCATTGCGCGATAATCACATTTGGGGCTTGGCATTATATCAAGAGGTAAATATAACTTTGTCAGAATATTGCGCGATGAAGCTAACGCGGACATCAATGATCGCTGTGCCGTCATTACACAGTATAATCGATGAAGGTACATACCATTGAAGTATTCACATTAATTCACCGCGACAGTGATATTAATATTGCGTAAAAATAAAATGTAGCCAAAGATACAATTTATTTTTTTGCAACGGCGTTTTTCAACCAGAAACACGAGACACGGCTCAGGCGTCCTCGAAATTTTTGCCGGACAGTGTTCGCACAATTTTTATATTCTATTGTATTGCATTACATTGTAGTATATCCTATTGTATTATGTTATATTCTATTACATTTATTATTATTTTATCCCTTACATTCATGTTCTATTCTATTATATTCCATCATATTTTTATCTGAATTCTCTACCCAATTTATGGAGAAAATAAATATATGCACATCTTTGTAACAGTGAAATCCATTCCTCTGCCACTCAAAAGTATTTCGGAAATGGTTGAAAGACCTGGCTATTTTATTCGCTCATCTTGCACTTCATAGCTCCGAACAATAATATGACTATTACGGTAGCTAATAACGAAGCATCAACCATAACGACGTGTCACAGATTAAAATTGATAAAATGAAAGTATACGAGCAAATACCTCAAGATCGCAGAATCCGACCTTTCGTATGTTCTTCGAACACCATGAATTTTACTTTGTTCCTCCGAAACAATAGAAAAACGCGTCGCGTGGTATCGCGAAATAGAGCTCCGGGGCGACGAAGGTTAAAATGCAAATGCCTGTCTTCTGCGGACTTTTCCGCAGCCGGAACCGGATTGGCACCGAAGGGATGTCGGCGCCCCGCTCGAAGAAGAGCGAGAAAGAGAAAAAAAAAGATTGAGTACCAGGTCGCGCAGGCGAGCTCCCTACGAGAGAACGAGAACGGGTGTACCGTCGGATGGGGAAAGAAAGAGGGAAATCTCGGTGCACGAGATTTCTTTCGATTTAATTAGGGGTGGCTGCGGGGAGCGAGAAAGTCGCGTGATTCGCGGCCGGGTGACGCGTGTGTGCCACGGCAATATGGCGCCCTCGTCTCGTCCGCGGAAATTCTTAATTAAATTCTCGCCGCTTCCTCGGGCCAGGGCGAGAGGAGGCCACGCGCGCGCGCGCGGGTTGGAACTCCATCGGAGTTTTTTCATCCGTGTGGGTCCTGCGAGTAGCAGACCGACCACCCTCTTTCTCCTCCCCACACCCTGCACCCTTCCCGCTCCACCCTTCCCCCTTTCGTCCTTCGCCGGCCACCGCACTTGGCAACTTCAGATTGCGTTTGGCCCTCTCGAGGCGTCTTGTCGCCGCAAAGTGAGCTTTATTCTAATCTCCCGTCTCCGCGCGACGCGAAATAATTAAGTCGGACGACCATAGGCACGTCCCGGAGACCTCGATCTCTCTCTTTCACTATTCCTTTTTCCTCTCTTGTTTTATTTCGAGAGAGTCACCGCGCGGCTCGTTTCCGAGCGAAATGCTAAACTCGCCCCGCCGGTTTCGCGCACTACGAATCAGCTTAACTTTCTATTGCTATGCATCACCTCGAGATGAGCGCATGAATGAATGCGAGATAACGATAATTATACAGATATATCTTCATAAAACATTGTATCTCACTAAATCAAATATAGCATTATGGACAAAGTTATAAGCTCTTAAAAAAACTTCCCTATATTAGGCAATTTCATTCTAATAATACAATTAAAAAGCGCATAATAAAGAATTAAGCCAAATTGTATGAGTTTTTATCAAAGCTCGACAGTCATAATATAATCGGTCACGAATATAAAAAATTTCCTCATAGGAAAGAAACAATATCGTAAGATTCGTAATGATGTGAATTGACTACGAATATATGTACCAATTATGCGCTACTTGATATATCAATGTAATAAAAATTTTGAGGAATAGTTATATTTATTATATTGGCAAACATACATAATACGACTTGAACATATATAAAACGACTTGAGAAGAATCTCTTATTATTTCTTTTCTTATTTATATTATCCACTTTACGTTCGTATATTCTTGCATTGCAGTGAAATAATTTTGTTACGTACGATTATTCAACGTATATACGATGTGCATAATAGGAACGCGAACGTGTCTTTGTTACATTTCCTAGTGACGTATTCGTGTCTCCGCGTAGCGAGAATCAAATAAAACTTCGAAATATCCCGTTCGCGATATCATCTCATATGCATATGTCTATATATCATCGTAGTTGACTGCCGAGCTTTGGCAAGGCTCAGCCAGCGGATACGGTGGCTGCCTCCTGGCAAAACCAGTGGTTTTAGTATAAAACGCCCGGTTGCGCGAAGAATTGCAACGTTTCTCAAAACGTTTCGCCGAGACGACGAGTACAAAGAAGAGCTATATTTGTGCGATTAATTGGCTATCGATTTGTGATAATTTCTCGTTAATTCACCAGAGAATATCGTTTCAACCTTGATGTCGAATCTCAATTTTATTTTCATTTAATATCATCTGATAATGTTTGAAGGTGGAATATATAAGAATATATAAGAACAGTAATGCTCTTAGTATATTTGTAAAAGTATATATATGTGCAAGATTTACATTTTCCTCAAAATATTTAACTGTACTTACAACGATAGATTAAACTCATAAATCACCTTTAACGTCGAGAGAGAGAGAGAGAGAGAGAGAGAGAGAGAAACAGAGAGAAAGAGAAAGAGGTGTATCCGCGATAAAACAATACAAAGATACTATATGGAAATGCGTATATCGCGATTGTCATTGTATACTATTATGATCTGTGTAATTTTATAAAGAACGACTCTGCTGTTTTGTTCTTCTAATCATATCTTTCTAAAATATAGTTACACTTTCTATGGAATTTTGTACATGATAGATTCTTTTGTTTGTAAAGAAAGAGAGAAGAATCTTTATTCTTATCTGATAATCTCTCCTATTTCAAAGTTCTGGAAAAAAACCCGGCATATTTCATAAATAATTCTATTATGTGTGACACTTTTTATACAAACATAGAAAAGATGACAATCGCATTAAAATCTCTGGCTTGTCCAATATTCTATTTATTGTATTATCACAAACAAATAGTCGCACAAACATAGCACTCTCTTGATAAAAAGAGCGTATCTTCGTTCTTTATATTTCTATCTCAGTATTACAATATAATTTTATGAAATATATTTCGTAAAAGTACTTAATAATAATAAATAACATTATTAATTGATTACGTTCTCCGTATTTAAATATTGTATAAAACAAGTAATCAATACATATTATATAATAATTCTTGTGCTTTTTGTGTAAACGCGGTATTCAATAATATCCACGCTTTCTCAAAGAATATCAACAAGGTACAATATTGCTCTTTTATAAAGAAAAATCGAGATATGCTACATTTAGTTCAAGAGAGCTAATGTAATATAAAACAATTTACTCACATTCTGCTATCTAGCTGGAACTTGTAGATCCATTACTCTATCAGGCTTCGAAATCCTGATATTCTGAAGACCTGAAGACTTGAACTCCTGAAATAC